ATATGGTATAAAGTTCCAGATAGAGGTAGGGTTTTTAAGAAAATGTTTAGCCCAATTAATTTTGAAAGTGTTATTTAAAGTAGAAAAGTCTAAGACGTCTAAGACGTTAAGCCCACCTGATTCGTACTTATTCATCACAACAGTTTTTCTAATATAGTGCGTACGGTTTTCCATATAAAATTAAAGAGCATGCGGTCAATATCTTTACTAATTTTCTTATCCAGATGTAAGGAGAGAGCAGCACATGTTAATCGGGATATCCCTTCAGCTTTAGTAATTAACACTCTACCTTTCAAAGACAAGTCCCTTTGCAGCCACTGGTTGAACTTTTTTAGGGTTTTCTGTATAATTGGAGTGAAGTTTGAAGAGCATCTTGATTTTTGGTCTTTGGATATTAACAGTCCCAAGTATGTGATCTTGTTTAACAGAAATATTACAGATCGTATTTGCAGGGCAGTCTTTAATTGCTAGTAACTCACACTTTTTTAAAATAAATTTTACCATGATCTAAAGTTTTATTTTTCTTAGATAACTCATGCTCCCAGTCCAGAGCAGGGCCCACCTATGAATTTAACCACCACTTGTGTGGAGTTCAGACACTGATGCCTCTCTCTCTTTTTGTACAGACATGCCAACCCGAGTTGCCGTGGTAACTGGAAGTAACAAGGGCATCGGTCTGGCCACTGTCCGAGCGCTCTGCAAGCAGTTTGAAGGAGACGTTTACCTCACTGCCAGAAATGTGTAAGTGACTCACCTGGTGACACCTGGACCAAGTTGATAAATGTTCACGTATCTGCAGTTTAATCATCTCAACACTTTTGCATACCAAGAGCTTAAACAAAACTAAAGCTCGGTCAGAGCTAACAGGAACTGCAACTGTGGTTTGTTTGTTCATCCAAGCTTCTTGCTTCAGGCTCTGAGCACGCACACGGAGTGAAAAAGGGCATTTGATGCATCATTTGACTGTCCTTCTGCACACAGTTGACCAACTGATGTGCTGGGAGTTTTGACGTTCTAGTGATCTAGTGACCCTCGAGCTCTCGGCTAGCTATCGAGCTGGTGGGTAACAGACGTCTCCGAAAACGTCGAAGCACTTTTGCAAATATGCAATATCTTGATAAACCGAGCAGATATTTGAAATTTACACACCCACATTGTCGACTGAAAATGTTAAAAGTTTATTTTGTGACCCAGACAGATTAATAAGAGTAATTTTAAAACATAGTAGCGGCCGCCATTGCCATTTGGCTGGGCCACGCTAGGAATTCTGGGATATGGTGGGCCACGAAGGACACACCCGACCCATCCTCCAAATTCGGAGAAATGCTGATGCATTTGGTTTTTTTTTCCTTCTGTATACTCCCATCATTTACCTGGTAAGATGACCAAGAGGCCTGCTGTTGCCCCCAATAGAAACCAGTCTATTCCTTCTAAGGGGTAGAAACCAGTGGTTGCTTTGATATGAAGCTTGTGGCTTTAGATAATGTGAGCAGAGAGCAGAGGACACCAGCACCTCGTCGTAACATGCCTATTTTTACTTTTACTTTTGCCAATGAATGACTGACTGATAGAATGATTGTAAATCAAAACTGATTTGTAGGAGATGGGTTTTTTCTTTGCGGTTGAAAAATTTGGGTGCGCCTAACTTTTGTGCTGATGTGCCTAAGATAAAAACGTTAGGCGCACCAGTGCAACTGCGGCAGAAAGTTAATCTAAAGCCCTGCCATAATGGCAATGATCAGTGGCTTGTGGATCTGAGGGCAGTCCACAGTAACCTCCCTGAACAGGGACCAGTAACCATCACCGTGGCAGACATCCAAGAAAGGGTCTCCAGAGTTGGACTTGGTTCATGCCTACTGGCTGAAGAAGCTAACTTAACTCCATGAGCGCCTGGCAGCACAAATGAACCAGCTGCTAGTTGATGAGAGACACCCGGAATGGCTAACCGAAGGCTGGACAGTCCTGATGCTCAAGGACCCACAGAAGGGGCCGGTCCCATCCAACTACCAACCAATAACCTGCCTCAGTACCACGTGGAAGCTCCTGTCAGGCATCATAGCAGCTAAGATGAATAGGCACATGGGTCAATACATGAGTGTGGCACAGAAAGGGATTGGCAAGAATACCAGAGGCACAAAACACCAGCTTCTGGTGGACTGAGCAGTCGCCCAAGACTGCAAGACTAGGCTGACCAACCTGTGCACTGCCTGGCTTGATTACAAGAAGGCCTATGACTCAATGCCCCACATCTGGATCCTGGAATGCCTAGAACTATACGAGATCAACAGGACCCTAAGAGCCTTCATCAGGAACTCAATGGGGATGTGGCAGCCCATAGCACAAGTTACCATCAAGTGCAGGATCTACCAAGGAGATGCTCTGTCCCCACTGCTGTTCTCCATACGCCTGAACCCCCTCAGTGAGATCATTGACAAAACTGGCTACGGATACAGACTACGGCATGGCAGGGCATACATGGAATGCCATAACCAAGTGGCCGGCATAGTGTACAGAAACATCTGTGCCGAGTATAACCTGGAAGTCCTGAGGTCAAAATGGGAGACGTCCCCTAGGGTGGTGGAGAATGACCGAGCTAAGATCCTGTTTGACTTCCAGATACAGACGGACATAATGGTGGTAGCTAACCAACCGGACATAGTGGTGGTAGACAAACAGAAGAAGACGGCCGTAGTGATCGATGTAGAGGTTCCGAATAACAGCAACATCGGGAAGAAGGAACACGAGAAGCTCGAGAAATACCAAGGGCTCAGAGAAGAGCTCGAGAAAACGTGGAGGTCCCAGTGGTAATCAGAGCACTAGGTGCGGTGACTCCCAAACTAGGCGAGTGTTGATCCCAGGAACAACAACGGAGATCTCTGTCCAGAAGAGCGCAGTCCTAGGAACAGCTAAGATACTGCGCAGGACCCTCAACCTCCCAGGCCTCTGGTAGAGGACCCGAGCTTGAAGGATAGACCACCCGCAGGAGAGGGGGAATTTGTTTTTGTTTTTTTTGTATTTAGAAAAACCTGGAGAAGGTGACACAGGTGCTGCTGAAGAGTCAAGTGAATATTTTCATGTTGGTACTTGGTATGCTCACGCTGCTATTTATCTCCAACGTGATGGGATGCACATTAGAGTAATGGGCTCTTCAGTGCATTCCTGTGGGACACTGTCTCATACTCCCATGATGGAAATCACTGAAGTTTGAGGTCAGATGAAAGTGAATCTGTTTTTCAGCCATGTATGTGTTCAAGCCTATAAATTGGTTCAATAATTGAATATATTCATGCAGCAGGTATGTTACATGTTTAATGTAACTAAAGGAATGAGTGAAATGTTTTTACAGATGATTTCAACCTGAAATTGTGAACACGTCTTGCTGCACATTTGTTCCATTATGTGTACAGTAAATGACTGTGGTAATGTGGCCAGGCCAGTGATGGAACTTCATCATGTTTCAGCGCCTTTGGGGACAAAATGAAGAGAGAAAGACTGAGAATCTCAGCTGGTATAAGGTGTAAACGATGAGTTTGAAGACAAAGTGAATATAAATGAGGATGTTTTGCTCCTCTTGCAGAGGCCGTGGTGAGGCAGCGGTGAAGGCTCTGAACTCAGAGGGACTGAAGCCCCTGTTTCACCAGCTGGACATCGACGATCTGAACAGCATCAAAACCACTGCTGAGTTCTTCAAACAGAAATACGGAGGAGTGGACGTCCTCATCAATAACGCTGCGATAGCTTTCAAAGGTAATTAACTTGTGCTGATGTATATCATAGTGTTGTGGAGCTGCACACACTGATGTTGTAATGTTGACGGAGATCACGCTGTCTCCTCAGTGGCAGACACGACTCCGTTTGGCATCCAGGCGGAGGTGACCCTCAAGACAAACTTCTTCTCCACCAGAAACATGTGGACTGTCTTCAATGAGATCATCAAACCTGGAGGTACAGCTTGACCCAGTCTGCATCATATTTTACTTGAAAGTTTGCATTTTTAATTGAGTGAGCGTACATGTCAGTAACTGATAATGAGAAACTTTTAGTTTTTAAATATATTAGACATCAATCAGGAAGAGTTGTTTGGAGTCTTCTTCTTGCCATGATGTCTGTATCCTAGCTGTATGCCAGTTCGCTCCTTCAGATGATAAAACTATGCATCTTCGATTATGCAGCCTCCCTTGCTATTTGTCCTCCAAATTAATTTTAAGACCTCCTTCAGCATGGCTTACTGAGATTTATTTCTGCCTGACAGGCAGGAGAGCAGAGGACAGATGAGAAGAATAGGCATTGGCTAAAGAAAGCAGGAAAGCTTTTTCACCGCAGCCATTCTGATACATCATAGCTAGATAAACACGGGTCTAAAAAACAAGAACACACATTTAACTGAACATCAGAAGTCCTCCTGGAGAACCTGCTCAAAGCTTATCCATCAGTCTCTGAAACAAACCTCAGATGGAAGCTGTTTGGAGTTTAAAGTTTAAAGGACTCTAAGAGCACGAAGGAGACAAACGTCCTGTTTGCTTTCCATCTTCAGATTCTTGTGTGTGTACGTCTGTGTGTTTTAGGTCGTGTGGTGAACGTCTCCAGCATGAACTGCGTCAGTGGTTTGAAGAAGTGCAACTTGGACCTCCAGCAGCGTTTCCGCAACGAGAACATCACAGAGGAGGAGCTGGTGGAACTGATGCAACGATTTGTCAATGAGGCCAAGAAAGGCGAACATAAAGAGCGTGGCTGGCCTGACGGGGCCTATACAGTGTCTAAAATTGGATTGACCGTACGTTTGATTAATGTGTTCGCTGTTATTAACCAGAGACATGAACATTTGACCTGAAACCATATTATGAGACACTGATTATATTTGTGTGTGGATGTTTTTAAAGGTGCTGTCCGTGATTCATGCTCGTCGTCTGACCAAGGAGAGACCGAATGACGGGGTAACTGAAATATATAACTAACAATGCAGAACTTCTATATTCAGTGGGGTTTTTGTCATGGTTTTATGTCCATTAAATCGTCGTTGCTAACATTTTGTTTTTAAATTTGATTCTTTTAAAAGATCCTTTTGAACGCCTGCTGCCCAGGATGGGTGCGCACTGACATGGCTGGACCAACTGCTCCCAAGTCACCAGACGAGGGCGCTGTCACACCGGTCTACCTGGCTTTGCTGCCATCTGGAGCCAAAGAGCCTCATGGAATGTATCTCTCGGACAAGGAAGTCCAGCCGTGGTGAAAGAGAGTTTAACATGAAAAATAATTTGCAAAGAAAGTTTGTCTCTGAAAAGACTGTTCAGAAGTGGTGATGAGCGTGTGAGACTCGCAGTGTTTCCACATCAGCGATAACAAAATGGGGTGAAATCGAAACTGTGAAACATTTAAAGAATGAAAGTCACCCAACAACAAAAAAACTAACATAAACTGACATTGCTAAAGCTCAGGGATGGTTTTTTTAGGACAGAGTTTAACTCTTATCCAAATATTTTGATAATAAAACCAAAATTGTTCATTTTATTCTCAGTGTGATGGACCGAGCAGTGAAGGAAACTTAGGCACAGGTTAAAGTCCAAAAAAATGATTTTTTATTTAACCCAAAAAACATAATTGGTTAACTCATGCAAAAAGAATCAAAATCTTGGGCCCATAAAAGAGGTCAAACTAACAAAAACTCTACTCAAAGTTGACAACACTACTGATAACTCAAACAAACTGACCTAACTTAATGAGACAAAGGGGAAACTTAAATAGTGGCTGATCAGCCCACAAAAACAGGAGAAGGGGTAAAACACACAAAACCTAACTAAACCAAACATAATGAACTCCAATTCCTCCCCATGGTCCTGAGTTATGGCGTGAACCAATTTGTAGTCTTCCTTTAAAGCTCACTCCGCCCCTTTTCCACCTCTTGGCTCCTTAATCAAGGGACTGGAACAGCTGTAACTAAGGTAACTCAGAAAACAAAAAATCAATCATACATAACAGTGTAAACTAAAACGTGCGCACTTATTTTAGAATGCAGTGTTATGTGGATATGTGAATTAACTCTAAACCAAAACCAGTTATTGTCCTGTAAATAAATTCCTATATTTAAAGAAAGAAAAGTGAATGCAAGGTTACTTATAAGCCTCTACACTAACATGGTGATATTACCACTGTGTGGCTGTAAGTGCAGCCATCACACTCAGTAACAGTACAGTACTGTGTTATGTGTGTGTCTGCTAGCTGGAATGAATCAAAATGAAAGTGAATCCGTGAAATGTCGAATTGTCGGCAAAGCCTTCAGTACATAACATTTTCATATCTTTGACATCATAAACTTGCATTAACTGGATGAAGCTAATTGTTCAGAATTACTAGAAAATGTGTTTGTTTTATACAAAATGCTGTTTTTTTTTGTGTTTTTTAAAATAAAACATGTGGATCTCCAGTCAAAATACCAAATAAAGTGACTTCAAAACATAAGGTTGAGTGGTCTGAATGTTACAGTGTCCCTGTATTACACACCCAGAGTGCATCAGCCACTCCTCCACCATCTTCACCTTTTCTTTGGTTTGTCCAGTTTCCTCTTCACGTTTCTGTAAGGAAATCTGTCTCCAGCATCTCGGAGCTCTCGGATATTTTCTCTATAATAAGATTCTTTGGAACATTTTTGGCCATTTTGAGAATAAGCAAACCTGTAAAAGCTGATGCTCTGCACTTAACCAGCGTATAAACTATTGTCTGTTTAATCAGGACAGCAGCAGTTTTCAGCTGTATTAACAGAATAATTTTTTTCCTTTTGGTTCAGTATTGAATGTTATTGTTTTATGTGTACTTTTAATATTCAACTACCTGTTAGTTTATCATTGCTTTACGTGCTGATAATGTTCAAAACTCCACCCAGCTTCCCTCCCACTATT